ACACCACCCCTTATAACTCGGTTACACGCGCACACTAAAAGATTCCACAATCTTAACGCTCTAGCTGTGCGAGATGGTTCAATCTTCTTAAGAGCAGTTCTGAGTAGATTCTATAATAGGAAAAACAGGTTTAAAAATGTTAGGAGAGCTGCCAAAGTAAGAGTATGGAAGAAAAATATCTAAACGATTTTTAGATTAAAAGCATTAGAAATATATTAGTCAGTTAATATTCATGCAAACTCATTTCTCTGTGCCTTGTAGTGGAAATTTTATAATATCCTGATATGTTCAAAGTAACCAAATGCTTCTCATTAGGTTACTGTGCTGTTTTCCTCTATCTTCTCTACTTCAAGGCCACAGAGCTGTTTTGGCTACTGAGTTGACTCACACAAAGTCACACGAGAACTTCTACAGCTCAAGGCCAGGTGTCTAATAACAATGTGACCGTGTGAAGATTTCTTCTCCTCCCCACCTTTTTACTCTCCCTTTATATTGCTTTGCTATTATTCAACTGCGCACACTCGCGCAGACTATCCTATACTCTGTGAGACCTGTGTCTATATTTTATTGTATCTGATGTTTGTTTGAGGCCTCGAATAAACATCACCAGAAAGACAACTCTGTTGGATTCACCATTCATTTGTTTTCTGACTTGTACTCTACAGTATTGGGGTTTTTAGATTTCCATAACAATTGGCGCTGCGAGCAGGGTCTCTGCAAGTTCGATTGGGAACACCTCCGGACGCTGGTTGGTAGCTACAGGATCCTCGGATTCCCTCTACCCCCGCAACAAAAACAGTACGGGACGAGAGGACCAGCGGCGGGGGTGGAACTGATTGACTTCACGAGACCAAACGGACTTAGAAAGGCTTTCCAATACTGGGTGAGATGTACAATGTCTAAATTGTTTAAAGTTAAACGTAATTAAAACTCCATGACGTTTATGAAAGGGCTGCTCGAAGATAGGGGTTATCCCGTCGTAGATAGTGGGTTTACGATTAGTTTTTTACGTGAGTTGTACTGTGAAACAAACATCACATAGGGTTTATCCCGTCGTAGAAAGTGGTTTACGATTAGTTTTTTACGTGAGTTGTACTGTGAAACAAACATCACATAGGGGTTATCCCGTCGTAGATAGTGGGTTTACGATTAGTTTTTTACGTGAGTTGTACTGTGAAACAAACATCACATAGGGTTTATCCCGTCGTAGAAAGTGGGTTTACGATTAGTTTTTTGCACGATTTGTACTGTGAAACAAATGGTGATTTTGTCATGGGAGCAAGGCAAAGTAGGGGGCTTGTACACCCTCCTGAGGGCCCGATTGTAGACGTCATGAGAGTAAAATATGGTGAAAACAGTCTGTCTAAATTAAATATGGACGGAAATGTTCGGATTTCCAAAGGGAGGTTTTTGAGTAAATTAAAAATCAAGAAACTAAAGAATAAATGTATTCTTCAAGAAAGAAGTAGAAATACAAATAAAGTTAAAGTAAAAGACTTATATAGAAAACTGGACACTCACAGAAAGTGTTTATAATAAATACTGGGAGGATTAAGCAGAATGCCGTGAAAGAAGGCAGTTGGCATTGGGCATTAAAGAAAATATTAAGGTTGAAGATGAATGTGAAGAAAAGAAGGAAAATAAATTATTTCCAAAACCATGTAAACCCCAGACATCTCTGTGTTCTTCCATTGCAGGCTGAATGACCTCTCCTCGACTGGGTATCCTTAACCTCCCCCGGGTACAACCCTGGCAATCCGGCTGGCCCACCTCCACCTCCACCGCCACTACAAGCCCCAGCCATGCAGTCAACTCCAAGCTCGCCACCCCCATCAGCCCCAAGTAGATGGGGACAACAGCGGGATAAACAAACCCAAGCCCAAGCAAGTGTTTGGGCAACACACCTCAGTAATGCCTTTCTCAACGGACTCACAGACACAGCGCAAGCTACGCAGAATGCTGGCCGGTCACAATACCGAGGGAGAGGCAGAAGAGGTTTTCCGAGGCAGAAGACGAGAAGCAAGACCTTCATTTGAGAAAGATGTTTCAAGTGTGGCAGTGTTGAACATTGGATTATGGGACTGCTCACAGAACACTGGCGAGTGGAGGCAGAGAGGGGGACAGCAAGGACGGGGCCATTCACAATCAGACTGACCTACACCAGATGGGGAGGAGGGGACCCGATCGAGCGAGATGGAAATTCAGCCAGCATCATCGAACCAGGGAAGTGAATACATACACACACATCATGCTTTTGAAAATTGGAAAATGTAGAAGACATGCCTGTGGTTAAAGAGGGTACATATTTGAAATATGACAGTGAAACAGCATTTGAGAAATGTCCCACACTAACTTTAGCTATCATGGGTGTTGATGTTCTATAGTAAAAAGGGCAGATTTGCCTGATTGCAAATGTAGTGGTAGATGTATGCACTCATTAACTAATGCACTCAATGGGAGCGGCTGGGGTGACTGTAAAGGAGAAGTTTTTGTATCACTTCAGAGTGGAGATAACGGTGATGATAGTCAATCCTTTCCCCATCAGTAAAAAAACAGTTTCTTTTATCCTCCGTCTGCCTAATACATTTACTGGGCAGAGATCTGAAACTCCGGTTCGGCTTAGATCTCATTTTTCAACAAATGAGGGTTTTAAAGTCCGGCAGCCATCTCCTACGATGGTTCAAAAACTTTTGATGATAAAGAACTGTGTGGATGTGTATTAAATGGCTGCTGACATATCCTGATTCTCAGGCGTTGTTGCGTTTGACTGATCAACGTGTTTTTCCACCTGCTGTGTTCATGGAGGCTTCTCATTTGCATTATACGTGCTAACGTTGTTAATGTGTTAATCTGTGTAAATGCTATGATGAGTTTTTCTGTTAGAATGTGTGAATGAGGAGCTCATGCTTAAAACTAAGCTTGGGGTTTCGCTGCGCAGCGCTGGTTCCTGTTACACTCACACCCACACAATACAAACTGTGTCAAATCCCAGGGACGGTCCACACATTTCACTAGCCAGGGGGCCCACTGATAGATAGAGGGATTTGGATCCAATCGTTAAATTTGGAGTCAGTCACTGATTGGACATCTACACACACAGAATATGTTATGTACTATATGTCAGGTGACATGTATAGATGAAAATGTGCACAAACGTAGCGGTCTACGCACATTGCTGTTGGTTGAGGATGATGGGGTAATTCTCATATCTCTGAGCTTCCTGCCGCGCTTTCAGATGGGCCATACTCACTCTGGTCAGTTCACAGATATGACATATGTTTAATGTCCACGTTCCGTTCAAATCAACCCCCGTACCCATTGAAACGTGAAGCTGTTGATGGCATTCGGTCAGTGTTTACCTCTCTGTTTAAACAAGGGGTCATTATTCCGTGTAA